GGTATAGATATGCCTGAGAAACACATGATATTACCCCTTTAATATTAATAATATAAAAACACTACTATAAAAAAAGTCCTCTACCTTCTTTGTCAGTATCTACCTTTACTGTAATGTTTGTAGAAACCATCCTGGTTCCTTCTTCTGTACTCAGAATCTTAAGGTTTAAAGAGTTGATATTTAATCAGTTTATTGAAAAAAAAAAGTTTTTTTTTCACATGTACTTCCTCACTAAAAGTTCCTCAGAGACATTTCTGTTGGATTTYATTGAAGATGATTAACTTTAATTTCTGTTGCCATTCTTTGCTGTAACAAGCTGTCCAGATCCAGTTAACCTCTTAATGGGGTTTTCTTGAAGTTTGTGCTGCGTTTGTACGAGTTTTTAGCCAAGATTCTGACATTTATACCACACATGTCTATGTTTATCTAAGAGAGCTAAGTTTAAAGAAGGTCTGCCCCCACTGGCAGGGGCACAGGGCTTAAGAGGTTAATAAACATGTTTTCTGTATTAGAAATGATTAGAACCCAGAGCTTATTTAGTTTTTTTTACTGTTCTTAGTTAAACAGCTAGGTGTTGTGTTCACGTGTGCTCCCCGACAGGCTGCTGGAGGAGGAGGCAGRGAAGAGGGCAGAGCTGGAGCAGATCTACCTGCAGCAGCAGAGGATGCTGTCTCGGAGCGAGGCCGAGAAGGAGGAGCTGAGGGCCGAGCGGCGGGCCAAGGAGAGAGACCTGCAGGAAGCCCGGCAGCACCTGGAGATGCTGGAGAGGGAGCGGCAGGGAGCCGTGGAGCAGTACCAGGTCTCATTTCTTTACCTCACTGACAAAACACTCCACCACATAAAACAGAAGATTCGTCCTCCTGAGGGTTATTTCTGCTCTCATTCCTTGGCAAGTTCAAGAATCACACAGAAAAACCTCAAGACAGAAAAATAATGTCACTGATGTTAAAGACTTTATAATAAGATCCAACGATTTAAATCTTTTATTTTTTTTATAATATATGTATCTCTAGCTCTAACTGGACAACTTTTAATAGAAATAAACCTCATCTCATTGGGCCTCATGCAAGAACATGTTCGTATTCTTATCCTAAATTTCTCTTACTTTTGTTCGTACAAAGGGTTTGTACGAACATGTCACGTCAGATTAAACAAACTCTTCTATCTTCAGGAAAAGTGTGTAAATGAGCTGCGTAAATTCCACCTGTTCGTATCCAGCAGCTC